TGTAACTAAACAAAACAATGCGTTCTCCTAATATTTCTCTCAGCACGTTCCTCAGGGATTAAACGAAATTTCTCTCTCACGGCCCACTAATGGGTAGTTTTCGTGAATAAAAATTAGGTCCTGAACCTTTCGTGCCCCGACAGCTTAGCTAATGTCAGATTAAGATTGAATAGTCCCGTTAACCCCATTCGCTAACCACACGTCTTGCTAACATTCTGGTACTTTCTTAGCTATATCTAATCTTTTGTTTGGGTTTATTACTTTCCTTAATTGGGTTAGCTACTTATTGTGTATTGGTCTTAATATTTCTTTGCATTTCGATAGCTATTACCTATCGATTCAATCTTCTATTTATAGATCATTTGAAAGGCTAACTAGAGAATACCTATTCGAACTAGCATTATTGTGTTCTTGGTAACTGGGGCCATCTTAACTTCTAGGAAATGGCATCATTATATAAAAATAGCGGCCATCATCGTGTGAGGATAATAAGTATGTGAATGTTAAGTTTGATTATTGGTATTTAAGTACAATACAACGTGTTATAAAAATGAACGGTAATGACTTATGTGGCAGCAAGAAAAAATTAGGTAAGTAATTCTGAATAACAAATAGAATCTGAAAAATGCTCGCTGATGATAAATTATACCATGTAATGATATGTTGTACCATATAATGATACCACGGCCTCATAAGAAACTGGTATTAAGCAACTCTTTCGCTGCTTTCAATAGGTGCTTGTGGTAACATGAGGCCCAACCTCTCTCCCCCTCCAATGAAAGGGCTCCCACGATTTCAAAGGGTGGCGGCAGCGGCAAAGCACTTGTGTCATTAGTCGGCGGCAAGTCTCTAACCATCAAATAAACATAATGCAAAAAATACATCGGCAGTTTTTCTTTTTAGTCCTACTCCGAAACATACTTCTACCACTTGTTAAACTTATACTAAAATAACAGTAATCTACGTTAAACTCACTTAGACTATATTATTAGTAAAAGTAAATGTAAATTCTACCAGAGTAAGCTTTAATAACATGAATCACAACACTGAAGACAAGTGCCTTCTTTAGCTTTATTCAGGCGTCAAAATCAAGGTTGTGGTTTATGACTACGTTGAGCTTCGTTTGGCTTTTATTGAAAGTAGCATAAGGATCAAATTTAAATGATTAGGGTCTGTTTGTGTTTTGAAACAACTCTGAAAATTTTGACATCTAAAGAGTCCAAAATAGCCCATTTTGGACTCTTTAGATGTCAAAATTTTTTTCTTAGCAAACGACAAAATCAGAGATGCATAGGTACATGTACATATAAACATAGCCATTAAAATATCTGGCGTGATTAGTATTGAAGTTTTATCATAAAATTAAAAATAAAATAATTAAATTTAAATACAAATCGTATTTGCCAAAATTTCTGTCGGTAATATAGCGTCATATCTTCGTTAAAATATCGTCATATTTCCTTAAATGAATGTAATGCTTAGTCACAGCTACTAGTGTGGTAGGTGTTGATGTAATCCAGTCTGCGAGATTTATATGATTTTTGTAAGGAAGCACTCGAAAACAAGAGTACCGTACAATGCGCCGACTTTAGTGCGACTGCTATAGTAACGCTTAGAATGTCTCTAAAAACTCAATAGCGCTCTTTTGAGGAGTGCTGTTGAGTCTGACTACATCGGAAGGGAGGGAGAAAAGTTAAAGTTTCAGTTGAAGTGATAAAAAGATAGAATAAGTGTTGTAATTATTGTGATAAAAAGATAGTTAGACATGGTGATAAAAATACAATTAGGTACCGTGGGAGAGCCATGCTTCTGAGGTTACCGAAGCCCAAATCCCCCTCCCGCTGGCCCGAGCGGGAGGGACTCCAAGGGCAGCAACGCACTTGTGACTTTTGAGTTGCAGGTGTCCATGGGCGGCGGTAGTTGCTTATCATCAGGTGACCCGTCTGCTCGTCTGCCCCCTTACACCATAAAAAAAAAACAAATTTGTATGTACACGCGATAAACAAAATACCTGCAGTGCTATTTCCTTATTTCCTGGTCAAGTTTACATATGAGTACATATGTATGTTACTCCGATAAGTACATTCTTAGTACAGACAGGAACCTTTAAAATATAAAAATATTTATTAAATGGAACGTTTCGGTCTTGACTCTGAAAGAGAGGAAGGAGAAAATTGAGGATATCATTTCAATGTCGAGATAATGAAAAGCCTCTTGATTTATACTGAATACCAGTTAACTAACCCTTTGGTATATTAGGCGACAAAAATGGTATGTTTTCTGTTTGATATTGAAACCCACTGTTACCGAATAGGAAGGTCATTTTATATGTACTCGTGTGGACGGTATGTACTTGCGCTTAAAACACCAAATTAGAGCGTTGTTTATTTTTTCATCTTATATACTTCATAGATTAAGGAAAATTTGCAATGTTAACGGTAAATCGTGACAATACTCTTACGAACTAAGTTAGCTGAGAACTCTCCTAGTATGTTGAAATTTCAAGCGATGGAAGCTGACAAAATGTTAGTTATTACGATACAATTAATGATATGGGAATTAAGCAATGTCTGTGTCAAAACTTGAACTATGGAGCGAACTGCGGAGTGGGTTCTAGTTCCGTCTCAAGGGGAATCCAAATGCTGCTTGTGTTGTCATGACTTGACTTGACACTTTTATCTTTTTTTTTAATAATATAGGGGGCTAACAAGGAGACGGGTCATTTAATGGTAAATTACCATATCTCAAGGGCGTTGGACCTCCGGTGACCTTACGCACTTGGCGAAGAGCATTGAAATATTGGCCAAACAATGTTTTCCTGTGAAGCCGTTGTATCACTTAAGGAATGAACCTCTGGTCACTCAATCGGTGAACGAATTATATGGAATTGGTCGAGGTATAACTATAGTCAAGCCGGACCATGTGCTGAAACAGGACTTTATGATCTAAATTAGTAAAGATTTATAGTTTAAAGTATATACAAGCTTATTACCGGACTTATCCGGGTATATTTCGATAAGAGTCTATTTCAAGATAAAATGGGTTTTACTGTACGTCATCCAATTAGCCACATTTCAAACCTTCAGTTTTATTACACAAGTAAAGGCAAAGAATATGACATCAATAAAATTTCTTGATCGCTATGATTCGTTTGTTTATGCAGTATAGGTCTGGATGCCTAAATTGCCCACAAAGATGTTGTATAAAACCAATAGCATGAAAAATATAAAAAATGTATATTCTGTAAGGGTGACCTGCTCAAGGTTTCTTCATAAACATCTGATATTGGCACGCTGTGTTACACACGTACCCGAAAGTCATTTTTTCTAATATTGATGATGATGTATGATATTATAGAGACTTGTTGACGGAGTCATCAGAATACCACTTTCACAAGAGTATCCTTATTACCTATGTATTATATACATTATATTTAGATATTTATTATGATATTTTTATGTGTATCCTACATATCTGTAGGATTTTTTTCTCTTTTTGTAACATTCTTTAGTTCAGTCTTATCCTTACCTGTCCCAAATATACACCTGCCACACACAGCTTTGCAATACCTAAAGGTTTGACTGGAAGAAAATGCCTGTGTCCGCCTTATGCAATATGTTTGCAGGAAGTCTCAATAAATAAATAATTCTATAATTTACCTTTATTGTACTCATCATCAATTTTCGCGATGTTTTAATTTTATTTAGACCATTCGGATTCAAATTCATGGCCCATTATTTAAATCGGGTTTAAATTTGCTTTTGATTGCCTAAAAATATTTTATTATAGTCAGAACAGTCTTTATACTCTTCAAGTAATTTGAATTGAATAGCCGTTGCTTTTGTATTAAGTTTAACTTTTAATGTTGTGCTAGGGAGAACAGAGAGAACAATTCGTTGGTTATTTAAAGAGCTGTCATCTTTCTAGATTGTTAGATTGTATACTGAACAAGCCCTGTTTCCAATTTAATAATGCATATTATCTATTTCATGTGTATAATTTCTAACGTTAAGTTCCAATATTGGTGTGTATCCAAATCGATACGGAGGAATTGCGTCTTGCGAATTGCGAATGATTGCTGTAACCAGATTCGTTTCAACTTCTATTAACATTGTGCTTGACGATTTTATGCTCGTTTTGTTTTACCCATGTTCAAGTTTTGGGCTTATTTGCTGTTGTTTACGTCGTATCATCGTCATTGTCGTATCAAATCATTTGCATTTGATTTATGTGAACTAGTATTTTATAAAATTTGAGTACCTGAAATAACATGGTCCGGGTCCTTCCCAGAGTAGGACACCTAAGGCCGGCCGTCGGGGTGGTTTTTAGTGGAATCACCACATACTCCAGGAGCCCTGAGACCCCGAAGAGCAGGAGATCCGAAGGGATTTTCCACCCCGTCAACAAAAAAAAAAGGATTTTATAAAATTTAATAGGAAATTTTCACTGTCTCTTAAAAATAATCACATGGATAATGCAATTAAGTCATTTCAGGGTCTCGTAATGCTACGATGTTATTTAGTTGCATTAATATTCAAAACACGTCGTCGATCAAGTTGATCAAGAGTGCTGGAATCAAAGCGGACGTGTCTAGAATGATCGCTGACGTTCATTCCAGATTCTGCAGGCACTTTCCACTAGTTTGCATTGTCAATGAGATACCTCGTGACCCTTAATATACTCAACCAATATGAAATGTTTGTTTTGAGTATACATAGCGATGTCATAATTCATCAGACCCTTCGCAATTGTGCAAATAACTTATGCGTGGGTGGGTGGGTAAATAACTTATATAGGGAGGGTCAAATTGCTTCTATTGCGTTATATTGAAAACCCTAGAATCAGCAAAGCTCGACTTAGCAAAACTACTTGAGTAACAGGATTCTTAGAACATTGCAATTAACAATTACATTAAATTTCGATGGTGTTGGGCAGTTATCGGCCAGTGAAAATGTTCAGGTTGGTAAGGATTGTGTTATTTGCGGTTTGGGGTGCGCGACATGGGTGTCGCGCAGCGCGGCGTTAGATCGAAGGCGCGGGGGCGTTCGACGCGCATGCCCGGCTCTGCCTCTCCGCCGCCACGGCTGCCGGGCCGCAGTCGCACCGCGGTACCGTACGCGACGCGCCATGTCGGCCGGCGCTGCTACCTGACCGAGCAACCAGCTCTTGGAAAAACAAACGTTGTGAAAACGCGATTCGGATCACCGTCATCGATCGCAAAACGCACGGGGTTTCGGGTAAGTTCGTAGCGGTTCCCCTTACGCCTCATCTACCCTCCGTGGCGAGTGCAGTGTCCAAGGTTAAAGGCTTCCGATGTGCTTTTCCCGGATACCGATCTGCGATCTCGAGGGGGTGTAGGTGGCGCTAGTGTCCGCGGTGAGTCATCTCTGCGACACGTATTTTCATGGCCGCCCCTTTGATCTCACATAATATCGGCGCCTAGCTAAAGGTTTTTGGAAGATGGTTGCAGTGGATATTACGTAAGTGCGTTGGTGCAGCGGCCGTGGTGGCCGGCGCTTTCGATACGCTCGGTGCGCACTCGACCGCGGCCAATTACTGCACGCAAGGAACGTTTTTAGGAAAACATTCACCATTTTGTACTCGGTGCTCGCCGGAGCAACTGTGATTACTGTGATCGAAGTCATGACTTCGCAGGTTTTTGTGATTGGTAACGTTGTCGTCGGGACGTTTGTGTGATATCGTTTTATTGTGCAAGTGAATATTTTATTGGTTGATTTTGCAATTGTTTTGTGCTAAGTTTAAATTACATAATCTTGGAGACAGCAAAAAGTATTTGTTGGTATGTTTTATTTTTATGTTCGAATTGAATAAACGTGAACAAATATGAATATTATATTAAAAAGGTTATGAAATTAAACTGACGTCATTACTTTTTTTTTTGCACTTGTCCTTTATTGTGATGATGTATGCCTCGGAAAAATAATGGGAGGTTACAAAGCTCTATGACCAATGAATTACATTAATAATAGTAATAACTGAAAACGATTTAAATTTTACTAACCTTTTTGAGACGTCTAGTTCAAAGTACTTTTTAGTTCTCATTTTGTCATCGTGTTTTACGAACTACGCAATTCTATCCTTGAAATGTTAATTATAATTACACCAATACATATGCACAAGAGACAGAATTACAAAATTGTATTACAACCAAAAAAAAACTTAACGTTACAACAATCTAGTTACAGCTCAGTAGGGCACACAAGCGAATCAGCTGTGATCGCGTGCGCATTCTTTAACGCGCATACGTCGTATTTTTGGTTCGTTAATTTATCATGATGATTTCAGTTATAGGCCGTCCATTTCTGGACTTAGGCCTCAATAACTTCTAAGAAGACCGGATAAAAGCGGCCAGTTCGATGATTAAACAGCTTGTATACTAGAACGACATACGACGGCGGACAAGAATATCTTAAATGTGAAAATCATTTCGTACTTTTTAATACTTTTGATAAGTCCTAAATGTCATCAAATTACGAACCAAATGACGTTTACAAACTAAATTTTATTGAATGCTATTTGTTCTTTGTAGTGAGAAACCAGCACAAGTCTATCTTCGGGAAGGTGATGATGTTTTATAAATATAATTAAGTTATTACCACTTTGTCACCTACGCGACAATCATATTCCGACTCAGTAAATCTTTTAGGCTATTTACTTTGCTTTTCTTATCTTATTATCTTAAACGAGTTATTGATTGGTAGTCTCACGGAATTTAGGGTGTAGTTTATAGTCTGATAAACAGTAAGGACACAATTATGTGATTATATTCCTTCCGATATGTTAAGATAAATCTTTTTTATTTAAAACCTTTTTATTCTAAACTTTTTTGTCCTTCTGTTTCATACATATTTAAAAAAAAAATACACTGCATACACAATTACTTAAACAATGATTTAAATATTTTCTCTTTACGCTTCAGTTTGAAGTTTCTAAACAATTATTTAATGCATACAGCTACCACAGTTTTATTAGCCCGTTCTAGATTGTAGCAACAGATAAAAAACCTCTTACTCGGTTAAGCCATTCTTATGCTCGACAGTAAATCAGTGTTTTATTAGAATTAAAGTTGAAAAGAAAAGACTGATGGTCATTTTACTATTTGCATGTTCAGATTAGGTATTCGGTAAAAGTTCTTGTATTTCTTTGAGTTCGTCAGATAAGCAGAGGTTAACTTAAAACCACTTTTTATGCACGTAGTATTAATTTCAGCGCATTTCAATATTATCTATGTTAGTCTATTGTTGCCGTCATTTGGCTAGGTAATCAGGTCGATGAGTTGCGAAATCTTTACAGGGAGGTGGGGTAGGTCATGCTGTTTACTTTATTATTCGTAAATGTAATGTTAATTGAAGCGTTATTCGTTTTGATACTTACGCTTAACTTATTTTTACAAATATTCTTTATATTTAGACGGTTAGATCAATGTTAGATATATCCTATGAACTAAAGAATAATATTTTGTTTTACGAATTTGCGAAGAAATAAACAAAACATTTTTTTATGAATTGTTATATAAAATTGTGTTGCCAGTGTAGTAACTTGTTAAATATGATAAATTAACGAAACTGTGGAGTATATTAATAATTATCTATCATACACATAGTATTCTAGATACTAGCCGCGCTCTTGCCGACGGATAATATGAGAACTAAGTACTCTGTTTGTCTCCTTGTATGCCTCTGAGCATCTTGCAATAAAATTTAGGCAAGAATGAGCATCGAAGTTTACGTTTTTTGGTTTTAAAAGGAAAGACTTGAATTTTTTTGATTCTGAAATCTCGGCTAAATCGTTGATTCGATGTTAGAAAAATATAATAGGAAGTCAATTTATCTTATTTTGAAAATATCATCTTTAATTGTGTCGAAGTCGAAATACCGTAATTTATTACAATAAACGCCCTCAAAGATAGGAAAAAAGGTTTTAATGTTTTATTTTAAAACTCAAAAACTTGTCAAAATCAACTCCACAAAATACAAACAAATTAAAAAACTAACTGCTCTGCTAAAAAAGAGGAACTACAGTCCATATTGAATATTAAAGAAAAAATATAGCCAATGCGATTACGGATGATGCGATTATAATAATACCCCAGAAATCCAAACGAACAGTCGTATATTGAAACAAAAAAAAAAACAATATCATTGTCACTGACAGAGTAGTCTTTTTGGAAACCGGCTTGTTCGGGAGGCTGGAAGTCGTAAAATCTGCTTGCGAGACGATTCGTAATGACTCACTAGAACAATCTATAGACATGACTCAGAAAAGAGATGGGTCTATAGTTTTTCAGCAGGGTGTTATCGCCCTGTTTGAAGAAAAGCACCACTACACCTCGAGTATGCTGGAATTGAACATCTTCTGAAGGACTTTCAAAACCGGCTTTCCACCTGCTCAGGCGTTATTCTGTATTCATCCGGTGCCTTATCTGTTTTGAGCTGTTTTAGAGCCACACAAATCTCGGGTAGACTGACGTGAGTTACTTGTACAGACCGGTAATATTTTGTTTCCAACGTCTGTGTATATAATATGTTATGTCTGTGTATATAGTATATAATCCTTGTGGTATATAATATGCAAATTTGGTTATAAATATAGTAGATATTAAAACACAAATTTTTTGTTACAGTTGTGAATCCGGCCCCGTACCAATGCGCTAGTGGTTGTGTGCACTCGAAGAAAACACAGCCGCCATGTCGTCGGTGAAGGTGGCCGTCCGGGTGCGGCCCTTCAACTCGAGGGAGATCGCGAGGGACTGCAAATGTATCATAGAAATGTCTGGAAATACTACAGGTAAGAATTTTTATGAATCAAATCTCTGATCTTATAAAGATGTTCGAACTCTCTCGGTACTTGACTAAAAAAAACGTCGTCTGAGTATATAATATATTGTAGAACAATAAATATTGATTGTTGTTGTGAAATGGAAATTCGTGCGTCAAAGCAAGCAAACAGACAATAGCAAAAATGCAAACAAAAAGATGAACACAAATACTATTGATATCAACATATTAAACACGACTATTTATCATTGTTTGGACAAGAAATAGAATGAAGATAATAGCAAAACATCATCATTTTACTCCCAAAATCTTAATCATTTCAGGGTTTAATGACTCATAATTTAATTATGATAATATTTTCTTAAAAAATATCAAATAAGATTTAAAGGTTGTGATTATTAAGTACTTACACCGTTTATACATCATACATGAATAATTTATTTTTGTTACACACACATGACACAAAGATCAATTTCTACATTTTTTATCCTAAATATACCAAATATACATTTTTACACAAACTAATCCCAACAATGACCTTTCGGTTAATGATGATTGATTTTTACGCAATGAAAGATCGCCCTTATTCTTTTAGCGGTAAACCAGTAAATCGTTAGGGAAACGACCAACAGTTAATGAAAATTGATATGCTTGAGGCTAAGTGACTCTTCAAAATTCCAAAGAGGGTCAATTCCTCCATTTCTTCTCAAAAATTCCTAAGATGTTTTTGAAGTTAATGGCCCATGACCTCATAGATTGAATATTTTTCAGATTTGGAAAATGTTTTGTAAAATCAGTATTAAAATGTATTCGAATCGGATACATAAAATAAAAAATAATATTATGTCCTGAATATTGAATATAAAATTAAAAATATGACTGGTAATGACCACCGCCGGTTTTCTACTTTAGGACTTTATAAAAAACCCTCCAGCAAAAGAACTATATAATGATATGTTTAATGCTTCTGATAATTTTAAAGAGTTTTTCCGTTCTAATATTCCTGTAGGTAGTTATTTTTAGTTACAAAAAAGATGTTACTAACGTTCAATCGCTATAAAACAAAAACTACTCGAAATCTTTTTAAATAAGTTACATTAATCGTCGTTACAATATCGTAAGAAAAATTAATGACAGAAGTCTTACTTCTTATGGTAAATTCGTAGTTTTTTTATTTATTTTCTAAATACATATATAAACAGAAGGACTTTGAATTAGAGTTTAATACCATGCTATCACGCGTAGGTGTATTAAGGCGTACACGAAGTATCAACGGTTGCGAACGAAACCCTACAAGTTAGCAATGTCAGCAGAAATCAATCGACTCTTTTTCCTAATAGCTAAGTTAGTTAGCGAAATATTATCGTATACGCATAGGGGGGACCACTTCTTTTATATCATCCAATTATTTCAAGCGGGCTGCTTCGGAATGTTAGTAATTCGCAATATTGGAGGCTTTGAAGGAAAATTATTAGCTGCCTTGGAATTAGGCCTAAAACTTTTAAACAAATATTTACTCTAGGTTTTATGGTTTTCAAATATTTAACGTTAAAATGTTTCTCTAAAAAAACTTTGAACCAGTTTTACCATAAAGGAAATCAAAATTAGTGGTTAGGAAAAATAACGTAGTAGTTTTGCCAGAGCGCTTTAAAACGGTCGAGATAAAACACGAGCGACCTGTGAAGTGGCTCGTACTTAACCGTAGCATTTTCTACCCCTTTGCACAATTTATTATGAAACTAGTTTGTTTAGTATACGACCTTACTTGCAACCCAATAGAGTTCAATTTATTTTGAATTTACTGTTTAACTGGGCAGAAAGTTTAATTAATGTACAATAGTTTGTAGTGTTTTAGTTTTTCTCTTAACATTATAGTTATACGCAGAGCTTAACGTTTAAAAAAAGTTGTTGCAATTTAAATAGTTTAATCGAAAAAATATACAAATAAGAGAAATGTGCAAAATTTATTAATTGTACATTAGAACTCATGAGGTTAGGATTTATTGGCATCAAAGTTCAAAGCGTTAGCAAACTGATTGAAATCCAGACAATTCAAAAGTATATTATGTCAATAGGTATTCAATAATTCCCATTCATTTGTATTAATATACCATGGTAAGCGTATTGCGTATACAGAAATGTTTAATTTAATTGTTAATTCTAATTTAATATTTAAATGCACGCACCTAAAATTTAACTTAATCTCTCTGACAATTTCTCTGAGATTTTACAATAAATATTATTATATTTAGCAGAATAATACTCATCTCTGCTTTCAACTCCAAAATTATTAAAAATTTGGTACACAATATCCTTATTTTCAATAGATTACATATTTCTCTAAAAAAATCTCATTTCCGTTGACACAAATAACCGGGAATATTCCAATGTTTACTTATTTTTATAAGAATGCCGAGAATGGGTTATGTTTTAATCTAAGCATCTGCATATAAATGTAAATTTATTTGCCCTGACTTTTTGACTTAAAATGATAACGCCGTCAGTCGTAGACTCCGCAACCAATTAAGGCTATTAACAGCTCGCCCACGAAGCTCAATTCAGTCGTCACAGTCCAAGTAACTCCCATTTCTTTGCAATATTCACTCCTAACGAGGTGGGTGCCTCGTTAGTGCTAAACTAGTACGTGTTACGTACATATTTTATGTTTCTTTGTCTTCCTTTCGCAAATGTTAGTTTAAACGTTTATTTTATAAGATATGATAATAAAATTTGATAATTTTACCTTAAAACTACTTTAGCCTGGTACGGTCATTTTCCAATATCACTCATTTTACATTAGCTATGAAAGCATAACTTGTGTAAAATGAGTGATATTGGAAAATGACCGTACCAGGCAGCAATGACGATGTTAATAGTAGTGTTATTGATGCATCGTTATCTTTAAGAATTCACACATTAAGTAAACCTTAAGTGTTTTATCTTATGTTTTCTAACAAACCGATGTATATTTCAATTTGATCGGCCGTTTTTTGTCGCTTTATCTTAGCTTTATATGATATGCCGACCCTACTTTATTTTCACATCCACGTACTGGGTCTTTGTACTTCTTTAAGATTATGATAATCTTTTAATGTAATAAAATTACTAATGAAGCTCATACAACAACAACAACTGTGTATGTATGATAATAATCTACTGTCGTTATCACTAGAGTTGCTAGCTTTGTCACAAACATATTCACATCTCTAGTGCTTTAAAATTACTTTTGCAAGTCATTTCTCTCACATGTTCGTGTATTATCAATTTCAATTTAGATTTATTGCTATGAACTTTAACTCCACTTTAAAAATCAAACATCACAAATCCCTGCCAAGTTCATTGCCATGTCTCAACAAAATGGGGTGTGAAACCATTGGCTCGTGAAGGACAAGTCATGAATGACGTCACACGTGCGTCATAGTCAAGTACTAAACTCGGATACCATTAATATGCATTAACGTGGACATTGTAAAAGCTTTCACACCCATACGCTGCGAACGACGTTTTTTATTAGATGTTTTTTTGTAACGACTGTTGTGAGACTTTTCCTTTATCGGCCATTAAAATTATTAGACTCGCTACAACGATCGTGGGTTTCTCTAAAGATCCAGCCGATTCAATAATATCTCTAGCGACAAATATATTTTTAATGCTGATAGTACAGATCTTCTTTCTAGACCTATGGAGTACAGGGCGACTAATATGGATAATTACGCAAAGTAAATAAATCCTAAAACTATAATTACCTCTCATTGGCAAATCCAATTGACATTGTACCAAAATTCAACTCGATGTTCAATAAGTAGAGTAACAGTATTACCAGTACATCTAACTAAATTTATGTTGAAATTCTGATCAGAAATAAAAAAAAAGCAGAACGCTTTTCATTAATATCTTAAAGAACTATCTTTGTTGAATAAGCGTTTAGTTAACAAGTCATCAAATATAAAAGTTATGACAAAGGAAGTGTCTTTATAAACTCATACTCCATCCACATTTCAATTAATTTTCATAATAAACCAGTAAAATTAAGTTCCTGTAACTATAATGGTGTGTCACTTTGATTTTAATAAACCCCAGTAAATAAAGTATGAGTCAGTTTCGTATCCCGATGCACCTTCAATTGCGTAGTCAGGTGTTTGAATTCTGGAAATCATTCCAGACCGGTGATTTTTAGCCCCCCCCCTCCCCCAAAAGCGCAAAAATTTTTTTG